GACAGGGAAAATGGGGTCAAGGCACCAGAATAAAGTTATCGTAGAATGTTAGCTTAATGAGATGTATTTTGATTGACACACACAGTAATTTGCAAGTCCATCTTCTTTGTAGGAGCTAAAAATATTTTGCCAAAGTAGGTTCCGAAAATGTGTGGGCAGAATAGTTACATTGTGTAATCTCTATGTTATGAGGAATTATGTTCACCAATAGCCTGGAAATGTGATGCCCTTCAGATAAAAAGTGACTGGTCAACTGAAATCAGGCCTTTCCCTTTTGTCTTAACCTACTGTAGTCTGCTAGTGCTCCATCCCTGCTTCCCTCTGTTATTCTTGGTGGCGTTAGCTGCTTTTTGCTGAACCAGCAGCCTTTGAGTGTGATAGATTATGCAGGACTGTTTTTTTCTTCAACTTGTCAATCATATTCTTACATGTGCATCTTCCCAAGGTTCAAATGCCCATCATGCAGCATCTTTGTTTTCAGTGCAGCCTAACCCTTCATGTATGTATAGGCAGCCTTCTATATTCACTGCAATGTTATCTGAGAAAATACCTGTCTGGGTCCTCCAGCTCAATTTGGTGGAAGCTGACCACAGAATTGCACTGGAGGATTTCGAGATTGCGAGTGAGAACATTTAAACTGAGAGATTACTGCTGGACCTCTGGTTGAGAACTATTTTATACTTGGGCTTCTCTAGTATATGTTAGCTCAGTTACCAAAACTGACCATACAACCACTCTGGCCACAAAACCAACCTACACAATTTTGTTAAATGATAGTTGACTTTTGTAAATTAATGTGAATGTTTTACATTAATATTTTACATCACTGTATAATTCTTGTTTGATCATGATTGGTTTAATTTATTGATATTAGTTCTAATATTGTTTTAAGATGTGGGGCTTTTCTAGGGTTATAATGTTGGTACTTGTTTGCTTTATGGAGGCACTGAATGTTTTCCGTTGTATGTTGGAATCTGCAGGGCCGTAGCCAGAAAAAGATTTTGGGGAGGTTTGACAATTTTGGGGGGGGGGGTTGAAAATTTGGGGGGGGGTTGAAAATTTTGGGGGGTGGGTGGGGTTGAAACCTGCCTTCTAACTCACGTTGAAGCAAAGAGCACAGCAGGGGGCAGAGCAACCTTCCATAGCCTGCAGCTCCGCCCTGTCAACCACCTCCACCAAGTCTGGCCTCCTTAATGAGAACATTCAACACACACACACACCCAACTTGGTTGCTTCACTACATCGGCTATTGCTGCAAGTAATGACAGTGTGAATAAATTGTCATTATTTGCTTGAGATAGTGCTTACAGTTCTGGAGGGACTCTTAATTTTTTGCATCTCATAGACTTAGCATGGGGATTTGGTTAACCAGTTAAAATTCATGAGTAAACCAGGTTTTTTTAAAAAAATCTGAAACATTTCGGGGGGGGGGGGGTTGAACCTCTAAACCACCCCCTCGCTACAGGCCTGGGAATCTGCCCTGAGTCCCCCTGGGGAGATAGGGTGGAATACAAATAAAGATAGGCCTTCTAAAAACAAAGGTGTGAAGATCTTTGAACAAAAGGCAATGTTGTTGGGCAAGCAGGGCTGGGCTGTCAATAAAGAGGCTTAACAAATGCACATATGCTGTGCTTCTGTTTCCACAGGCAGCAATCTCTCAGCTTCAAGTGAACCATATGACTAGACAAACAGTTTTGGGTTTATCTAGGCTGACACAGGAAGTCACCTACCATACCAGACAGAGAAACAATGAATTCAGCGATTACCTGGCTTGGGAAACGGCCAGGGGGTTTTGCCCAGTCTTCTTGTTCCCAAGGGATTATCTTGGCACAGAGAGTTGACTGTTTCTGGGCTACCTCTCCCCCCCCCCCCCAATATATGAATGAAATATATACAGTACACAGAAAGATACAAGTTACACAGAAAGTCAAGAAAAATAGATACAATTTACTGAAGGATTAGAAATGATAAAGTTACTTGGGTGGGGGGGGGGGGGTGTGAAGCTGCTCCTTGTCTGTTCCTTGTCTCCCAATGCCTCGGACTCCTGAAAGTCTAGGAAAAAGTTTTAAAAAGGAAAAATATATTTGTTGCGGAAGATTTAGTGAACCATAAATCTTCCAGTTGGGTGGGGGTGGGTTGAGGTGGCAGTATCCTCAACCCACCCGCCCCCCCCACATCATTATCACTGGTAGGTGACAAGACAAACTCAGAACATTAAAAAAAGGCTGTCCAGAAAGTGTGACATAGGAATTCCTTGCAGCTTTCTTAGGGGCCTTCCACATAGCCATATTACCCAGAATACCAAGGCAGAAAATCCAACAATATCTGTTTTGAACTGGGTTATCTGAGTCCACACTGTCATATATTTCTGTTCAAAGCAGAAAATGTCAGATTTTATTCAGTTGTGTGAAAGGGGCCTTAGGTACCTTAGAAAAACTGTTGCTTTTGCATGAAAATACCAAAACACAGAATGTGTAAAAGGTAAAACTGCCTCTATATTGCAGTATTGAAAAGGGCATAGCGCTCCCCATAATATTTTTAAATTTTCTGTTAGTTTATATGGCAGTGTCATGGTTTCCTTTGGAATTTCAAGGAAGACTTCAGAGGAATCCATGCTATGAAGGGAAATTTACAACAAGCTGTTAATTATGGTCACCTGGCTTCATCAAGGCTGAGAGAGGAAAGGAAGCCATAACATTTGTTATTTAGATTAAGTTTGGAGCTAGGAACTTTGCATCCTGAGAACCTGTGTAAACAATTGAGATGGGGAAAGGGACAGGGATGTGCCTGGGGGAATAATAACCCTCCTTTTCCCACCAAAAGCTTAGAAGTGGCTGTCTGTCTAACCTATAATGATTTGAAAATAAAGAATCTGTTTCAAGCCCTGGCTGTGAGTAGTTTCCTTCCTAGAAAATCTGCAGTTCCTGACAGGTAATTGTTTGGGTTAAAATAATACAGAATACACCATATGCTTTTTGTTTAAGACCTGGCAAAACAGGAAGCATCTTAATGAATGTAATCTAGTCTTTTTTTTTTTAAGAAGGTATCAAGGATGACAAAACATTGGGTATTGAATCTGTCCCAGCACAATGCAGGTATTCTCAGTAGCCAGAATATTTCAGCCAGCATTGTATGTTCTCTATGAAAAGATGGTTATTGTGTAAAAGTCTTTGTGTAGAGTGATTTTCCCTTATTTTATTAATACTTAAAGTCAACAAAGCTATAGGAATAGTCATGGCTAATTTATAATTATGCAGTTTAAACTCAGTAAAATAGTCGTAGCTCAGACAACTAATAAAGGAAATGTTGTCCAATTTATCCCGGAATCAAGAGGTAGATGACAAGAGATTTCTCCATCCAAAAGAACCTTGTAGATACCAAAGACCTTTTTGCGATATGTTTGGGCAAGTAATCAGCCTTTTAGAATATCAGGTTATCAAGAGCAGCCCACAGGGAAAATGAAGCGAAAGAACCAACACAATGACCAAGAATATGGGGCAACTTTTAGAACTTAATAGCGAACTCCTGCAAAGCAGACTGCCTCTGATATTAAATACTATGGTAATATTTTGGCCATTGGGGATAGTTCATATTCTTGCAATGTTGAAATCTCTGCTTGGGTAATATTGTATTTAGCATAACTAGTTACAGCAATGGTTCTCAACCTTCCTAATGCCGCGACCCCTTAATACAGTTCCTCATGTTGTGGTGAACCCCAACCATAACATTATTTTCATTGCTACTTCACAACTGTACTTTTGCTACTGTTATGAATTGTAATGTATATATCTGATATGCAGGATGTATTTTCATTCACTGGACCAAATTTGGCACAAATACCCAAAACATATTTGAATACTGGTAGGATTGGGAGGAGGGATTGATTTTGTCATTTGGGAATTATAGTTGCTGGGATTTATAGTTCACCTACAATCAAAGAGCATTCTGAACTCCACCAATGATGGAATTGAATCAAACTTGGCACTCAGAACTCCCATGACCAAGAGAAAATCCTGGAAGGGTTTGGTGGGCATTGGCCTTGAGTGCTAGAGTTGTAGTTCCTCTAAATCCCAAGAGCAGTGAGTACTCAAACAATGATAGATCTGGACCAAACTTTGCATGAATACTCAATATGCCCAAATGTGAACTCTGGTGGAATTTAAGGAAAATAGACCTTGCCATTTGGGAGTTGCAGTTGCTAGGATTTAATGTTCACCTACAACCAAAGAGCCTTCTGAATCCCACCAACGATAGAATTGGGCCAAACTTCCCACACAGAAGCCCCATGACCAACAGAAAATATTTTGTTTTCTGATAGTCTTTGGCGACCCCTCTGACATCCCCTTGCGACCCATCCAGTGGTCATGACCCCCAGGTTGAGAAACACTGAGTTACAGGTTCTGCAGAATGCTGAACCTAATGCCATTTTTGTCTTGAGATATAAGCCTAGCATTACTCCTAGATAATCACAATATATTTTTCATTAGCACTTAAACATTTTTCTTTTTGTTCTTTAGATAGATATTTTAATGCAGCATGTGCTTTGCAAATGTGTGGATGGAATTTGTATTCCTTTCTCAAGGTTATTAGTACTTATCTTCATGGGAAAGACTCTATTATTTATTGATCTTCTTTATACACTTAGAAATGCAGTAACACTGAAAGAAGAACACTTAGTAACTGTGTTTCATTGAAGCCTTTATCCAGTTAAAAATAATTAGATGCTTAAACTCTGCAGGGAATTAGAATGAAGTAGGTATTTCAGTTTAGGAGGAACATTAATCTTGAGGCTGTGTTGTTCATTTTGTCTACGTTTACTTATTTTTGGAGACCCAGTGGTACACTATATAATAGGAATGAGTGATTAAGGTAACATTCAGCCAGTTTGATGGCTATTTTGATCTGATTTTTATTATTTTAGTTAACAAATGGTAAGTTTATTACTTTTGTTTTGCTGGAAACTAAGCGGTAAGTTGTTTTATTTCTCCTTTCCTTTTCAGAGCAATGACATGGCAGAACTGCAGCGAGTTCGAATGAAAGATGAAATAAGAGAATATAAATTTAGAGAGGCCAGACTCCTTCAGGACTATACAGAACTGGAAGAAGAAAACATTACTCTGCAAAAGTTGGTTTCCACTTTGAAACAGAACCAGGTGAGAACAGTTAATATATTTCAGAAATGGTTTGAAAATAACAATGCTAACAGTGATTGGTGCACTATTTTTCAGTACAGCATATATCTCTTTACCCATTAATGAAATACTATTTTAACAAGAGATACAGTTTAAAGGAGGGTCTGTAGAGACAAATCTTGGGAAAGTTACTTTTTTGGGGTACAACTCCTAGAATCCACAACTTTTATTGCCATTGGGAGCTGTAATTCAAATAGTAACTTTTCCATAGTCTGATAGCATGCTTTCATAGAATCATACAGTGGGAAGTAACCACAATCCAACCCCCTGCCATGCAAAAACCCCCAAAACGAACCGCAATCAAAACACCTCCAGGATCCTCAGCATCAAAGGTTTCTTGTGGAAGATTCCAGACAGAATTACTCATGTCTTAGTAGCTTTTCATATAGCAGGGCTAGCAATGCTCGTAATCTGTAACCGTGTGGATTCATCCCTGATAGATTCTGTTCAGTAGACAGTACTGGGCTAAGGCATCTTCATACGCTGCTTGTCATTATCATACCCATATTTCATCACATAATAGTTGCGCCCTCCTTTCTGGGATCCTAGTTTCGGTATTTTTATTTTCCTTGCATAATAGCTGCACCCTTAGTGTCAAGGTCAGATGCCAGCCAATTAAAGAAGTATAGTTTATTGTTCAAACAAACACAAAACAGCCCAAAACAAAACCACAGGGCAAAAAACACTTAGTCTTCAGTGTGAAACAGTTCAAAAAGTCAAAAGAACCCACAAAACCCCCATCAGAATAGAACCTGGATTATCCAGAGATATAATCCAGATTAAACTCAAAATGCTTGACAGAGCAGCTCAAACTTGCTCCGTCAAACAACAGAAGAAAAACAAACTGTAGAATGATGTTCACAGCCACTCTAGTGAGCAGCAGCCTTTCAAGGGTTGCAAAATGTAACCCAAGCCTCAAAAGCTGCAGGAGACGCCACGCTGAACTCCGAGGCTGGAATGAAGGAATGCAGGGAGGAAGATAACGCCAGCTCCAGAAACACAGCCACAGATGGGGAAGGGAGAGTAACACCGAACATTGAAGTCCAGTCCAGTCCAGTCCAAAGGTAAACGAATAGCTGCAAGGTCAGGTCCCGATCCAATGGAAGTCACAAGGAGCCAAAGCAATGGGGCCAATATGGCAGCTAATGCAAATATCAAAACAATGCAGTCCAGCAGAAACCCACACAGTTCCAGCCCCCTTTGCTGCTTAAACCCAGAGCATAACTTATGTCCCAAAGTCTTCTTCCAAACTCGTCTTCTGTAACACAACAATCCAGAAAGCGCCCAACAAGACACCTTGCCGATTGCAAAGTTTCAATTGCAAACACTCCCATTTTATCTACAACTCCTCATCAGAACTTGATTCAGCCAACACCCTTGTCCCAGCTGCATCCTGTTGAAACTCCTCATCCGGACTGGAGTCGCCCCTAGTTTGGCCCAACCCATCCCCAGCTGTGCTTCTTCCACCACTCCTCCAAGTAGTCCATCTCTGGTCTAATCCTGAAGTTCCCCAAGACCCATCCGTGCCTTCGCTACTCCAGCCTTCAAACGTGCCACTGCTTGTGGGTTCAGCACAAATATCCCGAATCTCTTGAACCCTTATCCAATCCAACCCATCAGACCCAGAGTCTGATATCCCATCATCCATATCATTTGCATCAAAACCTTCAAAAGAATCCTCATCTGTTGGCTCACTAAGTATCTCCCGGATTCTTTTCCTCTGTTGCTCTTCATCATAGTCTTGCTTTCGAGTAGTTTTCCTGCCTCTCCTAATATAACTAGTGTTACTATCACTGCCAGCAGACTCTATCACAACACTTAGTTCGTAATAGTTGCACCCTTAGCAACACCCACCAATCACCTCTTCTCTCCATGCTATGGAGAGTTGCCTTGGCCAAGGTAGCCTTCTGGAGCTTGGAGGAAAGAGGGGATTCAGTGGGTGGACTTGCCTTCCTGGATGGCCTCTTCCCTCCAAGCTATGGAGGGCTGCCTTTGACAAAGCAGTTCTCCAGAGCTCAGAAGAGAGAGACGTATGAGTCAGTGAGCTTTCATTCACCTGCACACCTGCGGGCAAGAGTTATGATGTCTCCCTCAGCTGGCCACCTTGTAGCTCTCCCTGGCATGCACACAGGCGGCTTTGCAGCTATGGGATTGCAGCCCCATATCTGCCAAAAACAAAAATTAATCATGTAATAATTGCACCCCCCCCCCAAAGGGAGGGGAAAAATTATGACTATTATGCAATGAAATACAGTATTCAGTTTTTGGATGCCATTGTAGGCTAAAATTATTCCTATTTGTAATGCAGTTTTAAAAGTTTTAGTGGAAAGAACTAGCTTGCAGAAAGTTTTTGTGGGAAAACTCTCTTCAGAAGGTTTCACATATGCAGGCATTTCCAGGGATAGTGCACCCAATGTCTTTATAGGGTGTACCAGCCAATGGTTGCACCCGTGATCTACTGACTACCAGCTCAAAGAGGCTGCAGTTTCAGTGTGCCTACATGATAAGGCTTGCACTAAATGACCCAAGAAAGCCATAGAATCCATATGATTCTATGGCTTTCTTGCAAATGAGAACTCATTCTGTCAGACTTGCTGCATAAACTGGTTTTGAAGTCTAAGATACTAGAATATGACAGCTGGAAATCCTACTTGGAGACATATTCACCTTGCTCCAAGGTATATCTTTACCCTGTTGCTTTACATAAGTAGAATGACTCATTCATCCCCCTGTCCCACCAACGATCAGGCAACAAGGTGGAGCTGTGGTGTAGAAATACACAATATACGTGTATAGTTATGTAACAGTAGAGGATATAGGTTTCCCCCCCTAAAAGATGAGAAGACAATTTTGGAGAGACCATTTTGATGCCACTCTGATCTCATGTGTAACGTACAACTCTATCTACATGTTCGTCTTTATCATTGTTAAATTTCCTTAAGAATATAAGGCCCATTCCTTTTCATGAAACGGATAAGTAAGTGGATTTTTATATATCATTAGAAATTATGTTACCTGTATGTGTGTATGTATATATTTCACTACTAGGCTGTAGTCATAGTTTTACTACTTGATATTTGATATTACAGTGGCAAGGGGGCAAAGGAGCACCTTGTGCGGCTGATAGGAGTTTGGATTTTTCTTTCCTAAACAGAAACTGCGAATGCCCTGGGACAGAACACAATTAAAAACAGAAGGAAATCTCAAAAGTAATTAATGCTATTTCACAGAGGTGGGGTGCCTGATGTAGAGCGCAATAAAGTCCAAATCCCACTGGGATTTGCAAGCCGTTAGGCATGCCCAAAATAGCTCTTTGGCTCTTGAATTATATTAAAAGTAATTAATGTCCTACATCATTCTGCTTTCTAATGAACACAGTACATAGCAAACTAGGCCTGGCTTTCTAATACAAAGCAAGAGATGTGTTTGTCTCACTATTTTTTCTTTTCTTGCAATTTGGTAAATTGCTCTCATTTGTAAAATAAAAATATTGGATTAATTTCTGAGATTACTCATTGTACAGTGATTGTTTTTATTGAAAAGCATATGGATATAATCTAATTCTACCACACAGGGAATATTTTTATTGCTTTCACTATTACCAAACAATCAAGTTTCTCTCATGATACAATAATATTGATACATTTGATGAAATACTCTAGTTGTATATTTTTGGGGGAATATTCATAGGCTTTGGTTTGATCTTTTAAAATTCCCATGTCTTACAATTATCAGTTTGTTGTCTTTTTCAAAATGTTATGATACACCTAAAAAGTCAAAGCATTTTTGTCAAGGCATAAAATGTTTATTCTTCTAGTTTGAAAAATGTGCAAGCCTATTTAACTTCGACTATGCAACCTTTATATAGAGAAGATGAAATAAAAGGTATTATAGGATTGCCATGAAATTTGGATATCTTACTTAGGCGATCCCTCGTTGTCCTAGTACCATGGCCTTCCAAGTGAGTCCATAGGAGACTGTGGAGCTCTATTCTGGATCCGCATGTCCGTAGGAAATTGTGGAGCCCTATTCTGGATCCGCATGTTCTTCCACAGTGAGGACATCGGTTTCCAGGTGGAAGGCAGTCCCGGTCAGGGTTGGCTTGACATGCCTTCCTCTTGGCACATCTCTCCCTTTCACCCTCCATTCATGCCCCTTCAAATTCCACAGCACTGTTGGTCACAGCTGACCTCCAGCTAGAGCGCTCAAGGGCCAGGGATTTCCCAGTTATCTCTCCAGCAGTGTCTGCAGCCTGTAATGCCTGGATCCTTTTTCTATTCAATGGTTCTAAGTCCATACAATCTTTTCGTTTTTGGTACCTTCATTCAACAGATGCAGCAAATCACAAGATGTTTGTTAATCCAAGTTTTAGTATTTTGAATGTTCTTTATCTTATCTAATCCAGGTTGAATATGAAGGTCTGAAACATGAGATAAAACGATTTGAGGAAGAGACTGTATTGCTTAATAGCCAGCTGGAAGATGCCATCCGGTTAAAAGAGATTGCTGAACATCAGCTTGAGGAAGCCCTGGAGACATTGAAAAATGAGAGAGAGCAAAAGAACAATCTGAGGAAGGAACTCTCCCAGTATATCAATCTTAATGATAGTATGTATAATAACCATATTAATATCTCAGTAGATGGATTAAAGTTTGGAGAGGAAGGGAATGAGCCCAATAACGATGAGAAAATGAATGGACATATTCATGGACCACACATGAAAATGAATGGTGACTATCGGACTCCCACAGTTAGGAAAGGAGAATCTCTGCACCCGGTCTCTGATCTCTTCAGTGAGCTCAACATCTCCGAAATGCAAAAACTGAAGCAACAGCTCATGCAGGTAACACAAGACTTTAACTATTGGAAATAAATGTTCATATAATGCACTGGGCATATTCAGAGCTTGCAAAAGCCATGAATGGGAAATCTAGGATATTATCTGTTAATACTACACTCTCCATAGTTTGGGTTCAGTGTAAAATATTTTTGCATGAACAAATATTTACTTTAAATGTTTCAGAATACTGATTATTGCAATTTTGTCCTTGTAGGGGTGATAGATCTTTCCCTATGAGCCCACATGATCCCTAAGATCTTCTGGAGAGGCTCTCCTCTCACTTCCACCCCCGTCTCAGGTGTGGTTGGTGGGGACGAGAGAAAGGGCCTTCTCGGTTGTGGCACCTTGGCTCTGGAACTCCCTCTCCAGGGAGATTAGGCTAGCACCCTCCCTATCCACGTTTCGCAAAGAACTAAAGACATGGATGTTCCGTTGTGCCTTTAATTAGACAATTCCCTGGACAACTGGCCTTAACTATGACCTAAGTCTTGTCCTTGCACCTTATTACTATTCCACCCAAAGTCTTAATTATCCAGTTGAAACTGCTCTTATCCTTTTGCTGCTTTATCTTCTACGCACTTTACTCATTAGACCTACTGTTAAATTGCTGTGCACCAGACCATTCTCCTACAACGAGACTTGAATTATACTATTGGTCATTGTTTCTGCTGTTTGTTTTATTGTTGTTATAATGTTGCTTATGTTGTTTTATATTGATTATTGTATTTTGTACATGTTATGTTTTAACCGCCGACTGGGCTTGGCCCCATGTAAGCTGCCCAGAGTCCTTTCAGGGAGATGGAGGCAGGGTATAAAATAAAGTTATTATTATTGTTGTTGTTGTTATTATTATTATTATTATTATTATTATGGATAGCAGAACCTTATCAGCAGTTAAAGGCACTCACAAAGGAATCTTGAGAATATCTTTAATGCTAGGTTACTACACTACAGCAAAGTTACGACTAAAGAAAGCACAGGGAAACAGTGAACATTATACAGACATCCCTTTCTGGTCCGAGTCAGTCTCTTCTCAGGCTAGGCTGGAATTATCAGTCTTTTCCCATGTGTGGGCCTCCTAATATTTTTCATTCTTCACCCTGGTATGGGGGATGCTTTGGTGTCTCAGAAACACCAGAACAGACTCCATGACAGTAGGCGTCTGTGTAGCTTTGGCAACATGGACTGAAAATAAAACCAGAGAGACAGGTGTTCTGACTAAAATAAAAATGTATTTCCGTTGGCCAAGGGAAGGTCAAGCTGTGCTCACACACAAAAAATTGAAATAAAATTAGAAAATCAAACTTCTCAAGCAAGCCCTTATATATCTTTCATGCAGAAGCAAAATCACAGAAGTGAGGAAGACGGTGGTTACCGATTAATGTTGACTCATGTATATGATTAAGATTAATCCCTCAACCCTTCATCGTTACTTAATTCTTAGAAAGAGCTCCTCGGTAATCTTCAGACTTCAAAACAACTATCTCAGCATTTGGCTATTTTTGTTATCTCAGACAGACCACCTCATTACTCTGTCTCAAATTTAGACATTTGTACTTTTCAGCATCTGACCCTTTGACCCACTATCTGCCTTAGATAATTTCTCAACTCAGCTTTCAATCTTATTAATGTTTTTAGTAACTTCTTCAGCCTTAACATGTAACGTGATTTTTTATTAACTTCAGCCATGTGATTTTTGCTTAATTTCCTCTGTAAGTTGTTTGCTCAAATAGTTTACACAAAGTTAACATTTATACTTTAAGACAAAAAAAGCATAAAATCATATTTAAATATCAATTTTGTGTCTACAGTTTAAGCTTTGCAACAGTAATAGAAATGTAGATTCTAACAAGAATATTACCCAAAACAAGATGCATTGCTTTGGGTAATATTATATGGGCAAAATTATATGTCTGTCTGATATTGCCATAAATTGCAATCCTATACATTTCTAGGGTTTTAAAGTGACAATGCCCAATATCTTGCAAACTAATTAAGCCTGTTTTTATTATCTCTCATCAAACATGTTGCAATTGAGATTGCTCATTTGTGCATGTGTGTGTTTAATTTTACACCTTTCGGCTATTGCTATTTGTTTCATACCGATTGATATCTATAACTATAATGTCTTAAACTAAACCACCAAAATGATACAAAGTTTTCCAGTTTACAAAAAAAGTTCCTAAAGTTTTGATGACACAAAGATGTTCTTGACAATTGAACAAAGAATGGGAGGATTGTTCATTTCTCACTTGCTGTTGAACGGTACAACAATATGGGTGTAATGTGTGCAGTTTTGGTGCTTTATAAGCAACAAAAAGAGCAACAATAAAACAAATATACTGATTAAACAGTTTTATTTTCAGAAATTTCATATGACAGTAATTTAAAAATCCAATCGAAAGCATTCAGGTTTTGCCCACCTTTCAACACCTTGCTTTATAATTTATTTTATTTATTTACTACTCTTATATACCGCCGTTTCTCAGCCTACAATGGCGACTCAACGCGGTTTACAGCATTAAAATGAACAGCAATATACAATCTAAAAGCATAAAAAAAAAAAAAAAAAAAAAAAAAAAACATACACAATAAAACAGTATTGGGCCACCAATACAATCGGTGCATCTCTTAACTAAAAACATAATCCAAACTCATCGTCCGTGATTGCCGATCCTTGGTCATTAGCTTCGTTGCATCAAGTTAACCAAATGCTTGCTGAAACATCCACGTTTTTAGTTTTTTTCTAAATGCCATCAATGAAGAGGCAGATCTTATCTCTACGGGGAGGGCATTCCAAAGCCGGGGGGCTACCACAGAAAAGGCCCTATCTCTCGTTCCCGCGAGCCGCACCTGTGAAGCAGGCGGGATAGAGAGAAGGGCCTCCCCTGAAGATCTTAGGGTCCTGGTGGGTTGATAGGCCGAGATACGTTCGGACAGATATGTTGGGCCAGAACCGTTTAGGGCTTTAAAGGCCAATGCCAGCACTTTGAATTGGGCCCGGTAGCAGATCGGAAGCCAGTGGAGCTGGTACAGCAGAGGAGTTGTGCGCTCCCTGCGTCCTGCTCCAGTTAGTACCATGGCCGCCGCACGTTGGACTAGTTGTAGCTTCCGAGCCGTCTTCAAAGGCAACCCCACGTAGAGAGCGTTGCAGTAGTCTAGACGGGATGTAACCAGAGCATGGACTACCGTGGCCAAGTCAGACTTCCCAAGGTATGGTCGCAGTTGGCGCACCAGTTTTAACTGTGCGAATGCTCCCCTGGTCACCGCTGAGACCTGGGGATCCAGGCTCAGCGGTGAGTCCAAGATCACACCCAAACTGCGAACCTGTGTCTTCAGGGGGAGTGCGACCCCATCCAACACAGGTTGTAACCCCATACCCTGATCGGCCCTACGACTGACCAGGAGTACCTCTGTCTTGTCTGGATTCAATTTCAATTTGTTCGCTCCCATCCAGACCGTCACAGCGGCCAAGCACCGGTTCAGGACCTCGACAGCCTCCTTAGTAACAGGTGGAAAGGAGTGACAGAGCTGGACATCATCTGCGTACAGATGACATCTCACTCCGAAACTCCGGATGATCTCGCCCAGCGGCTTCATGTATATGTTGAACAACATGGGAGACAGTATAGAACCCTGAGGAACCCCACAAGTCAAGGGTTGTGGGGTTGAACAGGAGTCTCCCAATAACACCTTCTGAGAGCGACCCTCGAGGAATGACCGGAGCCACTGCAAAACAGTACCTCCAAGACCCATCCCTGCGAGGCGTCTCAGAAGGATACCGTGGTCGACGGTATCGAAGGCCGGTATCGAATGACTTGCTCGACGGTATCGAATGACTTGCTCGTTCAACTCTTGCAAATTACAGACAAATTCTATTAGTTTGACAAGGGGTCTGCTTTTTCATCCATTCTTCTTCCCTATGAATCATAGAATCAAAGAGTTGAAAGAGACCTCATGGGCCATCCAGTCCAACCCCCTGCCAAGAAGCAGGAATATTGCATTCAAATCACCCCTGACAAATGGCCATCCAGCCTCTGCTTAATAGCTTCCAAAGAAGGAGCCTCCACCACACTCCGGGGCAGAGAGTTCCACTGCTGAATGGCTCTCACAGTCAGGAAGTTCTTCCTAATGTTCAGATGGAATTTCCTCTCTTGTAGTTTGAAGCCATTGTTCCGCGTCCTAGTCTCCAAGGAAGCAGAAAACAAGCTTGCTCCCTCCTCCCTGTGGCTTCCTCTCACATATTTATACATGGCTATCATATCTCCTCTGAGGCACGTGCATGTTCCCAAGGCTTACTTACAGAAAGAACAGAGCCCTCCCCCGCCATCAACAGTGACATATGGTGTGTTATTTACATTTTTCAGTTGCCAAAATGCATTTGTAAGCATTTGTCATCAACCGATAGTGTTCTGGTCTTTACCCATCAGATAAGCAGTGCTCCTTGTATTTTATAGCGTTTCTTTTGGCTAAATGGTGCGAAAGCTGTGATGCTTTTAATATCAATTACTTTCACTCACATTTTGTAAAGTGATGCAGTTGTATTTAAGTCAAATTTCATACTGTGATATATTTTCATGAAGAACTGTATACAAACACCATCCCATTAAAATGATAACAATTACAACATCGTGGGGTTGCCCTTGAAGACTGCCCGGAAGCTTCAGATGGTCCAGTGCTCGGCAGCCAGGTTGCTAACGGGAGCGGCACTCAGGGAGCATACCACTCCTCTGTTGAGCCAGCTTCACTGGCTGCCAATTCGCTACCGGGCACAATTCAAGGTGCTGGCTTTAGCCTATAAAGCCCTAAACGGTTCTGGCCCCACTTACCTCTCCGAACGCATCTCCACCTATGAACCGACTAGAACATTAAGATCGTCTGGGGAGGCCCTGCTCTCGATCCCGCCTGCGTCACAGGCGCGCTTGGCGGGGACGAGAGACAGGGCCTTCTCAGTGGTGGCCCCTCGGCTATGGAATGCCTTACCGGCAGACATCAGACAGGCACCTTTGCTGCTGGCGTTTCGGAGAATGGTTAAGACCTGACTTTATGAACAAGCGTTTGGTTAAGCAGTGCAACCAATCAAAGGAAGACGGTAAATGGAACATAGGAATGGCACAAGGATTATGAGAACGGATCTGATTTCAACTGAGGCGTTATGTTTTGTCTTGTTGACTTGTCTTGTTTCGATTGTTAATTGTTGTGGATTGATGCTGTTGATCCTGTTGCATTGTTATGTTTTAATTGCACTGACATTGTTTGATAATTTGTACCATGTAAACCGCATTGAGTCGCCTGTTTGGGCTGAAAAATGCGGTATAGAAATAAAGCAAATAAATAAATAAATAAACTTCATAAAAATAATTAATATAAATCAATAATAGTTATCATGCCTCAGGTGAGACTTTGAGATTCTATCAGATCTGCCACTGCCTCTAGAGTGCCATGCTAAGTTTTTTTCTTGTGTTGTTGTTGTGTGCCCTCATGCCTTTTCTGACTTATGACATCCCTAAGGCAAACCTATAATTGAGTTTCTTGGGCAATATTTGTCCAGAGTGGGGTTGCTTTTGTCACTTTCTGAAACTGAGAGAATGGGGCCCCATCTACACTGACCATTTAATCAGTTTCCAATGAGAACTGAAGAAAGAGACTTTGCTGTGCAGATGATGAGATAGGAAATCCAAGAACCAGTTTGAGCATTTTGTGGGAGTCTGTCAACTTCTAACTGCATTAAATAGTCAGTGAAGACCATTGCCTGAGACTTGCCTAAAAAGCCACCCAGTAGATTCCCATGAGAATTGAAACCTTGGTATTCAGAGTTGTAGTCCACAATTCAAACCACTAGAGCATGTTGGATGGATACACGCACACACACACACACACACACACACACCTGGGGAAAATGCAAAATGCTGTCCTTCACTTCCACCAATCATGCAGTTGAATTCCCTTTATTTGTGGAAGATGCAGGAATCAGCACACTCGGAGAGCAGTGGATGAGCTTCAGCCCAGAAAACCACCTTCATGGTATCTTTGCTTCCAGGTGCCATGGCTATTGAGTATCAGTGTTTTTGCTACTTTGTTTTAAGACACTAATATCTTTTTTTTTCCTGGGTTATTGCAGGTGGAACGTGAGAAAGCTCTTCTCCTAGCCAATCTTCAGGAGTCTCAGACGCAGCTGGAGCACACAAAGGGAGCACTAACTGAGCAACATGAACGGGTTCACAGGCTCACTGAGCATGTCAATGCCATGAGAGGCCTGCAGAACAACAAAGAGTTGAAAGATGTCGATTTCGAGAAAGGACGAGATTCTGGGGAGGAAACCCATGACTATGAAGTGGACATCAATGGCTTAGAAATTCTTGAGTGTAAATACAAAGTAGCTGTTACAGAAGTAATTGACCTCAAAGCTGAAATAAAAGCCTTAAAAGAGAAATACAATAAATGTGTTGAAAATTACACTGAAGAAAAGGCAAAGTATGAGAGCAGGATCCAGATATATGACGAACAGGTGACAAACCTGGAAAGGTCAACTAAGGAAAGCCATGAGAAAATGATGCAGATGGAAAAAGAGTTGCAAAGGATTACAGGGGTTGCGAACGAGAACCATAATACCCTCAATACAGCCCAGGATGAGCTGGTGACTTTCAGCGAGGAGCTTGCACAGCTCTACCATCATGTATGTTTGTGTAACAATGAAACACCTAACCGGGTTATGCTGGATTATTACAGACAAAGTAGAGTTACTAGAAGTGGAAGCCTGAAGGGACCTGATGATCCAAGAGGACTTCTGTCTCCTCGACTCATCAGGAGAGGAATGGCATCCCCAGCAGAAGCCAGGACACCAACTGAACATGTCTTGAAAGAGGTCACAGAAGCGAGCAAAGAACAAAGTCCAACAAAGACGCCTACCATTTCCCCTGTCATCACAGCCCCTCCTTCCTCCCCAGTTTCTGATACCAGTGACATTCGCAAAGAGCCAATGAATATTTACAACCTGAATGCCATAATAAGGGACCAAATCAAGCACTTGCAGAAGGCTGTAGACCGGTCGCTGCAACTGTCTCGGCAGCGTGCAGCAGCCCGAGAACTAGCGCCTATGATTGATAAGGACAAGGAGGCCTTAATGGAAGAAATCCTGAAACTGAAGTCCCTTTTGAGTACAAAACGAGAGCAGATAGCAACCCTCAGGGCAGTGCTGAAAGCAAACAAGCAGGTAAACTATTATTAATTCCTCAACTGAACTTAAATCATTAATATGCATTAATAAATTAAATTAATTAATACAATTATTAATATGCAATTAGGATGTTTATGGTAATTACATTTCTTTCCTCATAAAATCTAGTCTTTTGTTTTTCTTCCTTAACATTTTATTCTGTATCTTAATATACTTTGGAGGAACTGGTGGAATTGCTTAAAATGAATTCTTAGTTCCAACTAAAGTAGGTCCATTGACTCATAGAATCATAGAATCATAGAAGCATAGAGTTGGAAGAGACCTCATGGGCCATCCAGTCCAACCCCCTGCCAAGAAGCAGGAAAACTGCATTCAAAGCACCCCTGACAGATGGCCATCCAGCCTCTGTTTAAAAGCTTCCAAAGAAGGATCTTTCACCACACTCTGTGGCAGAGAGTTCCACTGCTGAACAGCTCTCACAGTCAGGAAGTTCTTCCTAATCTTCAGATGGAATCTCCTTTCTTGTAGTTTGAACCACTGACCTATTGGTTAGCAGTTCTGCCACACAAGGGTTTAGCCCATTACACCACGGGCAACAGATATACTACAGCAATCCTTTGGCCAGCTTTCTATCCCAAATAGAAAATACACAACAGCTAGCGGCCTATTGTGTGTTTCGACTTGACTGTGGTTGGAGGAGCTACAGAAARCCAAAGTTTTACCTCGGCAGGCAGAACAAGTGGGCTTTGTTACCTAGACAGATTACGGCATTTCTCTTTGCTCCCCCCAGCCCACAAAGCCCACTTTAAAGTCTGCTCTTCATAAAAGCCCAGCYTGAACAGTGGAATTTCTGACTTGRCTCAGATACCGAGGCGACTTTTATAGTTTTCAAGTAGCTTCAGGGTTATATTTTAAAAGTTGAATTTCATCACATGTTTTAAGTTTGCTGAGGAGGGGAAAAAAAGATGTATTTTTAGTGGGGGAAAAAGTTTTTTTTCTTTCCCCCACTTCCCCCTTTCACATTTCTCTCCCCCCGCTTCGCAGATGTTTCATCTCAATCACATCCAGACCTCAAAGCCTGAGCACCAGTCAAGTTTGTTCTCCTACGGATGGAAAAGAGAAAATGTCATTTATTTGCAGGAGACGTGGTCTTCCCTCCCCTTGCCTCTTTCTAACACCTATTTTTTTTCTTCCAACTACAGCTAGTATGCAAGTTAATATCAAATAATAAATGTAAATCCACTGAGCTGTTGAGATTGAACCAAAGCTATTTTTCTGAATAGATGGCACAGCAGCTTAGTTGTTAAGTTTAGGTCGAGATTTTCTCACCTTCTCTGTAAATATTCAAGGTTTAATAGTTCTGTAAGTCAAATGAAAAATGCAACCAACGGGGCTGATGTAGTACAAAGTTCACAATACAAGTGGCTGGAAAAAAAAAATAAGGTAAAGGTAAACGTTTCCCCTTGACATCAAGTCCAGTTGTGTCCGACTCTGGGAGTTGGTTCTCATCTCCATTCCCAAACCAAAGAGCTGGCATTGTCCATAGACACCTCCAGCATCACTGCATGGAACAGCATTACCTTCCCACCAAAGTGGTACCTAGACTCAATACGAATTTGATATGTCAGCTCAGTAGGGCTGCTTAGTTGGAATTAACTGGATTAGTTTGCTCCAATACTGAATTGACTTGGTTTATTAATTTGCATTTTGTTATTTCTTTAGAAAACAATGGAGCATTCTGTTTAATTATAAATGTGGGGCACATTGAAAATTACATGGAATTCTAGTAACTTCAAGAATTTGTTTCTATGTGAGATCAATTCAGATGTATCCAATCCTTCAGGCAAAATCTCTTTCTTCTTACTTTCCATATGAGCAAACTATGTCTGGCATTTTTATATAAACTGGACAAATCATGGTTTGCTTCCAAACTATATAATGAAACTCACCTCAAACCATGGTTTACCAATCTACTTTGTAATAAACTGTGGTTTGTACCAGGCAAAAATCGGTTGTAATGGCAAAGTCACTCACGTCCATATCTATGCTATACTGCATTTTTAGTATTGTGTGTGGTATTTCATTGCATAAGAGTCACCATTGCATAATAGTTGCAACCTCCTTTTTTGGGTTCCAGTTTTGGTATACCGTATATACTAAAGTATAATCCGACCCAAAAATAAGCCGAGGCACCTAATTTTACCACAAAAATCTAGGAAAACTTATTGACTCAAGTATAAGCTGAGGGTGGGACATGCAGCAGGTACTGATAAATTTCAAAATAAAAATAGATACCAATTACATCAGTAGGTTAAATATTTTTGAATATTTACATAAAACTGTAATTTAAGATAATACTGTCCAACTCTGATTAAATAATTATTCTAACCTTTTTCAATGTAAATGTGCTTACGTATCCTTCTAATAATCACCATAGTTTATTTTAACTATACATTTTGGGGAAAATACTGTGTGTATATGAATAAGGAAAAATGAGAAAGATTGGCTCTGAGAGAGGAGGAGAGGAAGGCACGAGCTGCATTAAGAGAGGAGGAGAGGTAGGAGATCTGGGTTGCTGCGTGGAGACGTGAAGTCCTGGCAGGAAGGCGTGGGTCTGAAAGAAGCCCTTCTTTCAGCCCCATGCCTTTCTGCCAGTACCCTCGCTGAGGGGGGCTTTTTCAGCATTAAAAAAATGCTGAAAAACAAGTATATATAGTATTTGATGTTCCTCCCACCACTTCACTGCAGTCTTCAGAAGCAAGATCTGAGAGGCAGAGGAGGAGGTACGGTAATAGGATACAAGGGCGGGCCAGACAGGTAAAAGAGGTGTGTTTTTCTCGGCCCAGAGCCACCCTATCTCTTTTTTCCATACCCCAGGCGCCCTGGACACCTGCAGCTTGTTCTGACCTTCACTTACACTTTTCCGGTGAGGCGCCCCTTCACCTCACCATTGGGAATGCATTAAGTCCACGAATCCTGATGAATGGATTTTCTTCTACCATACTTGTACAGCGTCACCCTTAATGTTTTCATACAGTCGCTGCATATGGCAGGGATGTGGCCACTGCCATTTTTGAGCTCCCCCCACCATATGCAGAAACCACAGATTCTCCAATCTGGATTGGAAGTTTCAGCACCCACTCTATAAGACGACCCCCGCGTATAAGGCTACTCCCACGTATAAGATGACTCCCGCATATAAGACGACCCCTGACTATTGCGAAGATTTTCTTGGGTTAAAAAGTAGAGTTATATGCCAGAAAATACGGTACCTACAGAAATAGTTTTAGAGGTAATGCTTTAGATGTTTGTTTTGTTTAGCCGATCCCTCATTGTCTGAGTAGGATAGTCTTCCAAGATTAGTAAAAGGCGAAAGATTTATACGATCTGAAGAGAAACCAGAGTATTCCAAGATAAGTGTATTGGTGAGTCCATAGATGACTGTCAGGCCCTATTCTTGATCTGTATCTTCCCCCACAGTGAGGGCATTGGTTTCCAGGTGGACGGCGGTCTCGGTTGGAGTTGGTTTGGTGCGCCTTCCTCTTAGCACATTTCTCTCTTTTGCCCTCTATTCGTGCCTCTTCAAATTCTACAGCACTGTTGGTCACAGCTGACCTCCAGCTGGAGTGCTCAAGGGCCAGGGCTTCCCAGTTCTCAGTGTCTATGCCAGAGTTTTTAAGGTTGGCTTTGGGTTAGGTATTTTCCTTGGAAGATGCCTGTGCGTGAGTTTTTTTAATGTGTGGAGGTCAGTGCATAACTGATCAACACACAGTCTTCACAGAGTGAGGTTCCACTGGTGGCATACTTTAACAAGACAACCGTAGCCTACTTCTTCCGCCTTCACAGCCATTGTAACATGTACCAGGTTAGCCTCCACCTGCTCCGCCATTGAGGTCTTTGGGTCTTCGGACTTCAGATATATAAGCATTCGTGATGCTTATTTCTTTGAGATGTTTTGATTTTTAGAAGTTGGTCTAACTATTATTGCTATGTTGCTGAAAGAGTACTAGTGCTAAAATATTAAATCCATTTCCAATTTGTTTGGATATTAACTGTGAAAGATGTGTAAATTAAACCTTAGTCGAAGTGACAGGGATGTAGTAAGAAATATATTTATGTATGTATGTACACATATACTGTATTATTTCACATTGAAATAAAGGAAATTAATTTCTAAGATGCAGTAGCTAGAAGGCAAAGGAATATTGAAGAGGTCTGTTCAATGTAAAGGCAAGGGAATTATCTGTTATCTGTCAATTCCAGATATCAGGAAACAGGCTGATACTAAGCTTAATAGAACGAAAATGGCAGGGCTTCTTGATGAATGAGCTGAAAATAGAATGTTTATTATTGACTGTGCCTTGAAAAGAACTGGTGTGTGTATACCACATATTGAGAGGGTCAAAGGTTATCTCTGAAGTAGAACTGACTATGCATGTAACTTGCCTGCCCGTAACTGAGGAAGGTATATAAAGAAGAGCATTCTTCTCCTTAGGAGCTCTGACTTTTGGAATGGATTTCCATCAGAGTCTGACCAGCTGGAAAATTAACTGTGTTTTTTCAAACCTCAGAAAGGTCTTGGTGGCTTCTCTCTTCAATCGCTTCAGAAGGAACTGAAGGTTTCATTAGGATCTACAGTAAAAATACAGGCTTTCTGGAATATGTTGTTTAATAGTTTACACTTTACACAGTAAGATCTAATAATTGTAAGACATATGGCTACCATCTGATGTCTAGTAAGAGCGGTTTTCAGTGCAAGCTCTTGCACTGCCCAAAGAAATTGGATATTTTCTTGTTAGTAAGTTCTGAGAGTGCCTTGGACCGCCAGAAGATCCAACCAGTCCATACTTCAGGAAATAAAGCCCGACTGCTCATTTAGGGAAGGATAGTAGAGGCCAAGATGAAGTACTTTGGCCACATCATGAGAAGAAAGGAAAACTTAGAGAAGACAATTATGCTGGGGAAAATGGAAGGAAAAAGGAAGAGGGGCTGACCAAGGGCAAGATGGATGGATGGCATCCTTGAAGTGACTGGATTGACCTTGAAGGAGCTGGTGGTGGTGACGGCTGACAGGGAGCTCTGGCGTGGGCTGGTCCATGAGGTCACGAAGAGTCGGAAATGATTGAACGAATTAACAACAACAATCTTAAAAAGACAAGTAGATCTGATCCATAAATGTTTAATGATAGTTTTGCTTTTCATCTATTTTTGTGCTTTGTACTCTTTGTTCAGGATCATATACTTGGAACATGTTATTTATATGTATATAGACTGCAGGAATTCACATTATTATCTTTCAAATGTTGTTCATTCGTTCAGTCGTCTCCGAATAGATCTTTCAAATAGATCTACCAAATACGTAGTTTTAATACATTTTTGTAATTACATTGTAGATAATAAGCACAATTGATGGTACATTGGTGGGAGTTGGCATAGCTATGCTGGTGTACACATTGGTGTTAAACCCTTATTTCCTGGAGTTTACTTTGCAGGAATGAATCTTGGTTTCAATTTGTGCAGTGAGCCATTTCATTATGAAGAGTTCAGATTTACTTCTCATAAACAAATGAGGTAACTTTAGATCAAAGAAAAGTAAAGAGCTACTTTTAGTTCGCTGGAAAGAGGCCAAGCACAATGTTACATCATGCCCATTTTTTACTGCTAAAGCAGTTTTCTATTTATTGCCGATTTGCACCTTCCTATATTCATGATATACACTGGATGCTTAGATTTGTCAACACTGGGCATCTCTTTGAAGTGAAACCAGTATATTTTAGGCTCCATGCAGTTAAAAGTCTGTTTGAACTGAGAATAACAGATTATGAAACTTCAGTAGTAGTTGGAAGCCTGAAATTTAGGTCACACTAAGTGGTTCAGCTCAGACATGATAGCAAACTTGAATCACTTATAATTTTAGTGTACTTTGAACAAACAGGCATTCTGGTTGCTCTTTTTGCCTGTTCTTTGTTGTTGTTTATTTGTTCAGTCGCTTCTGACTCTTCATGACCTCATGGACCAGCCCATGCTAGACTGCAGCCAAGAAATTAGAGAGACATTTACTTCTTGGGAGGAGAGCAATAATCAATCTCAATAAAATAGTGAAGAGTAGAGACACCACACTGCCAACAGAGATCTGCAGAGTTAAAGCAATGGTATTCCCCATGGCATCCTATGGATGTAAGAGCTGGATCATATGGAAGGCTGAGCAGAGGAAGACGCTTTTGAATTGTGGTGGTGGAGAAAAATTCTGAGAGTGCCTTGGACTGCAAGATTATCAAACCAGTCCATACTCCAGGAAATAATGCCTGGCTGCTCACTGGAGAGAAGGATATTGGAGTCAAAGATGAAATACTTTGGTCACATAATGAGATGACAGGAAAGTTTGGAGAAAACAATGATACAGGGGAAAATAGAAGGAAAAAGGAAGAGGGGCTGACCAAAGACAAGATGGTTTATTTCCTGTTCTGCCGACATTGGAATCTCTGGTTTGTTTTGTTCTTGATATGTCAGAATCATGAATCAAGTGGAAAGTAGTTAGATTTGGTTGACGAGACTTTAAAAAAGAGGGGAAATTTGTGAGCTCCAAGATGTTAGAATTTAGTGAGAGCCTTCTATATGGCCTCGTATCAGCTACAGAGCTGCACCCTGTAGAATACTCATAGAGACCTCTCTGTTTCAGTCTTTGATTGTTTGGTTAAGAAATATTTATCCTAACGGGCGTTTAAGGTGGTGGATTGACATTTTAAATTCTGATCTCTTGATATTATATCATTTTTACCAGCAGACTCTTCTCTTATGTTGATATTATGCAAGAATTTCTCCCCAATGATATTTACACTGTTGCCTCTATTAAGTGAATTTTGAAAATGTAGATATTTTCCAAAAAAATCTGCAAAACCCCCTTGACTGGAAACTTGAATGCAGCAAAAGAAGTATTCACTTTTGAAAATGGTGTCTCTTTGACTTCTGCAGTGCGCGCTCTACATTGGGCTACCTCTGTACCAAGTTCAGAAACTCAATTTGACAGCAAGAGTGGTTATGGATACATTGAGAGCTCCTTCTCCCACATTTTCTGCTTTGAACTGGAATATGTGATAGTGTGGACTCAAATAACTCTGTTCAAAGCAAATATTGTGGGAGTTTCTGCCTTGACATTTTGGGTTTTAGGGCTGTGTAGAAGGGCCCAAAGAGGGAGCATGTCACATTTAAACTAAAACCACTCTACTGTTTGCTTATTAGTTTCTGAGGGAAGCACAAAGTGTTGGTTATTACCTATATGGTTTGGGTCCAGATTGCCTGCAGGATTGCCTTCTCCTGTACAAATCACCCCATACATGCAGGTCCTCTGGGGCACATTGACTTTAACCAGCCAGAACTCAGTAGCTGTCACCCAGAGGAACTTTTCAGCAGCTGCCCCTAGACTGTGGAATGACCTGTCAGAAGAGATTTGACAGCTAAGCGAACTGTTTGAATTTAAATCAAACTTAAAACCCCATGTTGTCTGTCAAGCCTGCCTGGTCTATTTTAAACTGGCACTTTATTGGTATGCATAATTTTAATGTGTTCTAAATCTTGAGTCTATGTCTTTTAAGATATGTGTTTAAGTGTTCTTGTGTTTTTATCTTCGTATTTTAAGTATGTGGTATAGAAGTGAGTATATATTTGGTAAAAATCTTCTTACTACAGATCACTTGAGATTCTGAGTTGTCATCTTCATTTCACTTCCTTGCAAATGTATGTAATACTCATGTCTTTGTTTCAGACAGCGGAAGTGGCCCTGGCCAATCTGAAGAATAAGTATGAAAATGAGAAGGCCATGGTGACAGAAACCATGACAAAACTGCGCAATGAGTTGAAGGCTTTGAAAGAAGATGCAGCAACCTTCTCATCCTTGAGAGCCATGTTTGCAACCAGGTACTGGAACCTGGTTTTTAGCCTCCTTTACCAGTGTGTAGTGTCTTCTTACATGAACACACCCTGTGTTGTGAAAAATTGGTCACATAGGCTGCCATACCTGATCAGATGTAGACAAATCAGCAGAGAGAAAAGTGTTAACCACACAGATGTTGTTAGATTACAACTTTATTGCTTAACATTGGCAGTGCTGGCAAGAACCTATAGAGTCCTCAGTCCAACAACATTTGGAGAGCTACATATTCCCTTTTCCTGGATTGCATAGATAGGCAGTAGTTTAAAGGATTTTAGGGGAACTACTGAACTTTTCCTTGTGAAGTATGTATTACACCATGGACCACTGTCACCTGCCTAACCAACAGTGACTTAAATACAACATTTTAAAGTGTGACTTCTTCAGATGGTAGATCTATTCCTGGGTTGGAAATTGTGTGACTCTCCAGATATTGTTGAGCTGCAAATCCCAGTATTTCTCACAAAGTGAAACACTGGCTAGCTTTTCAGCAAGATCTGGAGGGCTGAAGGATCCTCTCCCTTGCTCTGTATAGATGTTGAATGGAAGAAATAAATGGGACCCTGTCTGCACTACTACACTTTAAACAAGGTACAGATACTGTGGAGATAGGTAAGAACATACAGTTTTTAGATAGATATGAGTGTTGGATCACTGCACAGAGATCAGGCATGGGCCAGTAGGCATGATCACAACATTTTATATAGCTATGAGTGTTGGATCACTGCACAAAGATCAGACATAGGCCAGTGGGTGTTATCCTAACATGCCCTCTCTATAAAATATCAAGGAGAAAGCAGGCTTATGAGTAAGTAAGAAACAAAGGCATACTTTTAAAAAAATGAACGGCAAAGAAGCATTGTGGATAGCCTAAAATGGAAAGAGAGAGGGAAGCATATCAATAATATATTTCTAATTACATTTTTACAGTTTTTAGTGCTGGATTTCTGGTGAGCACATACCATTATCAAATTAAGTAATTTCCAAATGCTACTATTTGATTCTTACTTTCTAGGTCATATTGGTAATGTTCAGTTCTTTCAATATGCGGTGTGTTTTATGAATAACTTTTCGATAACTTTAAAGCATAGGTTCTTTTTATTATAATTTTCCAGTAAAAGAAAGGGATTCAGCACTTTTACAGAACAACATTTAAACATACAGACATACAGATTCTATGTAACTACATTGAATCCACAAACAACCTACAGTTACATTGGCTAACAAACACTGCCCCTCCCACTCTCTTTCAACAGAGGATGGTGGGTGAACAGCACAGCTGTCTGCCACACTTGAGAATTATTAGATTGAGTATTTTATAGGAATATTCTGCTGATGTTGTTCCAAAATTGTAAATCATTGTCCTGTTGGAAATTATCATGAGCATTGTTTTTGACTCTGAAGGAAATTATCTCTATTAGTGTTTACTAATGTAAACCATTAACACTAACAGAGATACATTGCATTAGTAAACACTAACAGAGATAATTTCCTTTATAGTTAATCCGGGTTCTGGTCAGCAAATGTTGACAGGTGTAAACAGATGTAAACATTTTTTTCTTATCACTGTCATAGTTCTTATCATAGTTTACTATGGCAGGTCAACCATTTAAGTTCTCATTAGCAGGTTTTAATTACAATTCAGCAAGCAGGTAGTTAATGGTTTATTCATTGTAGTTCTTAATCTTCAGAATGGTGTCTCCAAAATTACTCTAGGTCTCATTCATTCATTCCTTTCATTCAGTTCATTCATACCCACACATATTAAATCCACATTTATCAAATCTGCACATATGACATGTGTGTGGATGTTAACAAAGAAAGAAGCAGTTTATTTACAACAAAATATGAATTTTGAATATATCTCAAAAGACGTGACAGTAGATCGAGATTTATTTGTAGATGATTTATTTTAGAAATGCTTAATGTAATTTCTAAAATATATTACTTTTCCACATTGATTCTATATGTTATGTGAATAGGCCACCATAATTGCTCCCTCTTGTATATTTTATTATATGTTGAGCAGATGAGCTATTGATAAAGCATTAGATGGTTGAGAACAAGGGAGCTTAATCTCCTGGTAAGTGATAGCATCAGAGTATCCGTAGCTACAGAACAACGTGACTCTCTGAGCACTTGGCTTCTACCATAATGAGAATTCCTGTAAGCAAATGGGCTTTCAATATAATTAAATATGCTTTGTTCCAATCAATGATTAATACAGTGACATAATGGTTTGGCTTTTATAGAAACATGTCTACTCATAACTTCATTGGCCCATTACCATTTTGCTACAGTCTTTACATCATTGCATTAACTTAATTGCCTTGAGTGTGATACACCTCTCCTCTTGCCAGCAGACTGGATAAGGGTAGTAGCCCAGGTCAATTTTCACAGCAATATGGAAAATTAAGCCAGGACTCTATAGAGGAAAACAACTGGAGGAACAAATTGTTCAGTTTTAAGTCTGACTTTTTTGCTGCTTGCACAAGGAGTATCCAAGCGATATCTCCCTGTGACAACTGCTTGACCACCTTATACACGTGTGTGCTGTCCAAGGAAGAGGCGGCCATCCAGTATAACTTCCCAATACTGGCCAGCAGTATTTATAGTTTCTTCATTCCTCATTTCCTGGCTTTGTGGCATCTTTGTAACCTTGGAGAGAGATAAGAAAAAGATGGTTGCAGATGCAGTTGACATGTGTCAGGAGACACATTTTCAGGTTATCTGGCATGCTAACATTTGCAGAGTGTTCTACTTAAACACAACAAACACAATACTCAATCACAACCTGAACATATCATTTTCTTGAGGATCTTTCATGGGGAAGCAATTTGAGCAAGAAAATAATGAAGAACAACACAGAACTATTTCAATAAAATAAAGAGAAGTAAAATCAAGCAAGAGAATTTACAGTATAGTTATACTGTCTGTTGCAGGCATGGGCAAACTTCAACCCTCTAGGTGTTTTGGACTTCAACTCCCACAATTCCTAACAGCCAGTGGGAGTTGAAGTCCAAAACACCCAGAGGGCTGAAGTTTTCCCATGCCAGGTCTATTGTCTTCATCTTGCCATTCCACATGCCTGATGATGATTTATTAAGGAACTATAAAAAGCTCTTTTGTACATGTTCACAAATGTACCGTATGTCTGTACGTCTCTGAACATATTAAGGTCTTGTTGGTTAATGTCTTGTGTCCCCAGGTTTCTGTTACTTTCTATTGCTCACTGTCACTTGGAAAATATTTTTGGGCTGTATAGCCATGTTCTAGAAGCATTCTCTCCTGACATTTAACCTGCATCTATGGTAGATTGTGAGCCACACCTAAAAACTGTCAGGCCATCAAACACTAATCAAGGTGGCAAATTGAAACATTCACACCTATCTCCTACAGACAAGAGTTCTTTCTTCCTCCCTGGACTCTACACAAATATATAAACCCAGTTTTCCTAGTTTCCAACAGACCTCACAACCTCTGAGGGTGCCTACCATAAATGCAGGCGAAACATCAGGAGAGAATGCTTCTCGAACATGGCCATGCAGCCCAGAAAACTCACAACACCCCAGTGATTCCAGCCATGAAAGCCTTCGACAATACACTTGGAGAAGAGTTTGGATTAGATCTCTGATAGACATTGCTTATGACCTCTTCAGTCAGGAAAATTGGTTTTATTTTTTAATTCCATAGCCTGACATCGGATTGACCCAAGCTGCATATAGAATTAGCTGGTGGCCATGGCAACCACATCTGCTGCTGATATATCGTTTTTCCAATTGATGTGATCCCATAAGTTACTGCTGGGGGCAATTCTCTCCATCTGTAGTTAGTTTATACTGACATTTGTCCAGTTGATGTTTAGGAAAGAGTTTATAGAGAATAGGATTGACTCGCAAGAAGGTTCCCCTTCTACCCAGCTCACCGTGTTTCTCTTTCCTCCAGGTGTGATGAATATGTCACACAGCTGGATGAGATGCAGAGGCAATTGGCAGCTGCAGAGGATGAGAAGAAGACCTTAAACTCTTTGCTGCGGATGGCTATCCAGCAAAAGCTCGCCCTCACGCAGCGCCTGGAAGACTTAGAGTTTGATCATGAGCAGTCTCGGCGGAGTAAAGGCAAACTTGGAAAGAGCAAGATCGGCAGCCCTAAAGTAAGTGAGGAGGCATCAGCCACCGTGCCAACAATAGACACTTTCCTCCTGCATAGTCAGGGCCCACAGCAACCAAACATACTGGTCAGCAGTGGCACTCAGAGGAAAAGGTATGCATGCAGTCATCTTTATAGTACAGTGCAGTGGCCTGACCTGAATTAGGGTCATCCACTGAATTGAAATTATATATATATATATATCGGTTGGGGATAATGAGAGGCTGGGGATGGGTGGGACAGATAGTGGTTTTTCAATATGTGGCTTTTACTTCCACCTGCCCATAATATCTTCTTGTCCTTTTTGATATGGCTGTAAATCATATCCTATTGACATTTCAGCATATTCTGTATGTCTTGAATGTACCTGCTTTCCGTACTGCAAAATGTAGCTTTGCTGGGGTGGTGGTGGGGAGAGCGATACCCAAGAAGCACATTCACAGCCAAAGGGAACCAATTTGTTTGATAAACTATGGTGCTAATAAAATAGCCCTTTTTCTCTTCAGTACTGAAATACGGGTAGAACTGTGTTTGCTTCATTGTGCTTCTCATGTGTTAAAATGAACAGATCTTCAGGACTGAATTACTTTTATTGAAATAGCAGATGAGCATGATCTGAAGAGTATGATCTGGTTTTGTGGTTGACCTCTCAATAGGAGGGATGTGAATCACATAGAACAGTGTGGGCAAATGGCCCTCCACTTTGGGGATAGTGGTATTGGGGAAGAGATAATTTCCAATAAATATCCAAACAAGATTTCTGCTGACTGAAGATCCTTGGGACATCATCATCTGATTACTACCTGTAAACGTTAAATGTAAATACTATCATCGATTCAAGAGAGTATGTATGGAGCCTAAACACTAAATAGTCATTACAGTATCAACTGAAGAAATAGATTTGGAAGGGAGAAGGAAGCAGAGAGAGTATCTCTGGTTTTCACTGCCTGTGACTTGCCAAGCTATACACAGCCATGTCTAATGTTCTGCCAGATTCTTGGCAAAATCCAAGAACAATATCAAATATACAGCCAAACTTAAGACAATTTTCAAGTAGCCAATAAAATCAGATCTTATCAAACCAATGGCAGGTCATCATACATGGCTGGTTCTCTTTGCTCAGCTTGATTGGCCACAAGTTAAGCAGCTACTCTTATGACTTTCTAAAATATATGGTCAAGACCTTGAGAAATATGTCCTGTTGTGGGATGACAGCAACAGTAGGGTGGTGGTGTCAATATGTTGGGGTTGTTTTGGAAGCGGGAAGAGAAAAGTAATGTGATGTTGTCATTCAAGGGGCCATTGCTTGGTAATTAAAATAAAAACTCTTTTGTTTCCGTATGTATTTTTTTCTTGGATCTCCTGCAAGACTATTCTCACCTTCCCCTTGTGATCAGAGCCATCCCAGGACTTCAGGGACACACCTACTGCCTTTATTAAGAACCCCCCCTGATCACGCCTCCACAGAATCATATCTTCTGAGGGGCCCCCCTTCCATGAATGAATTCTTCCATGGGCACCGTCTCAGCAAGGAAAAAAGGTTAACCGTGGCCATCCCAGGTAAACATTTTTTCCTTGGGTGCATGTGGTGCAAAATGATTTGCTGAGTCTAGGAGGAGTCCTCTGCAAACACTGCACATGACGTTTCTAATTTGAGCACATTTTAAGATCTTTGATAAAGAAGAATCCTCAGGCTGATTTAGAATAGCCCCACTATAGTCATCCTAGTGTCCTCTGCTTAGGATTCAGTGTATCACATTTCTATCTGCCTCAGTTTAAGTCATGGTTTGAGGCCCTGTTAACCTCTTCATAAACAATGAAGCAGTGAATGAAAATCAGGGTTAAAACTTCATTTATCTCTCTCCTTCTTGGCGCACAAAGTCTCAGTGCAAAGGTCTTAGCTTGCTTTAAGACAAGATTCACTATTAAGTCTGAGCCAGGGACTGTCTAGGAAATTAAAATATAACCATGGTTTATTTTCCTGGGTGTATATAACTTCTGTTCACCCAGAATCTCAGCACTCCACAGCTTCATATAACATTAGTTATGAGTCCCTTTAATGATCATGCAGACCAGGTCCATAATACTATCCCAAAAACTGAGTTTTGTTTGTTTACATTATGTCTGAATTTGCTCCAGTGTCTCATCAGAAGAAATACAAAACCTGGTAAAATGAAAGAAGAGTCACATGAAGCATCTATGATGACTTTACTGGATATTGTATTTCTTGATATATTATCCAGCAAAGTCATCATATCCCGTAAATAGGTGGATATTTACAGAGCTGACAAATTATCTTTTTCAGCTTATACAAGCAATACTTTTTCTCCTTGAAGGAAAATTGTAAAGGCAAATGCAGTATGCTAGATAAGGTTTAGAGATTTAAAAATTATAAATATTTTTATGTCCAATGAAGTTTCTATGGAAACTTCTGAAAGCTGGGAAAACTTAGGAAAGTGAGAAGGAAGAGGAAACTTCTTTATCACCGTCCACAAGATCTGGTTTCTGTAGGTTCAGTTGCACTTTATGCCGCACCAAGGCAGTGCCTTGAATTTTCATCCTGAATTTACAACATCAATGTTTTTTCATGCCCCTGAAAGCTGCAGACTGAAAAATGTATAATGATAAATCAGAGGGGAATACTATGGAAATGTAAATCCCACAGGGTAGAGGGTAAGAAGATAGCTAGATGATAGCTAGCTAGCTAGCTAGCTAGCTAGCTAGCTAGGATAGGATAGGATAGGATAGGATAGATAGATGAATAGGAAAAATCCACTTGTGGTCTTGCATACACATTTTAAGTGGAACAGTTTAATACTTATATAATAAATAATATTAGAGCTTATTTTTTTCTATATGGAAACCATCTCCAATTGTATCCACTGGGATACAATTTTGAAGACATCCGTTTCCTGGTGAACCTGTATGATTCTTTCTAAACCAGGATTTACCTAAGATGATGGTCTATAAATGTGTTTGGCTATAACTTCCATCACCCCCAGACTGGTTCAGACACAAGGCTCAGCCAAGATTTTTTTTCATGCAATTGTGGTTTGTTTGAACATCTTTACCCACACCAGGCAAAACAACCCATGGATGTGGTTTTTTTTGCAACAAATTCCAATTTGAATCCAGATTTGGTGTTGGTTTAAATCCTGGATTGGTTTAACTATGGTTTAAAATTATATCTGAACCCAGAATCCTGTTTTATTTCCACTTTTTTTCTGTACCTTGTTCAACCTTCTTGCTTAATCAATAAAGGTGTAGAAAAGGGGCAGATAAAAAGCAAGCCACGTCTCAAGGCTTCACATTTCTCACTTGCTTCCACCTCTTCCTCAGCAATTCCTCATCTATCCTCATTTTCTTTGCTAACAGCCTTCTCTCCATTCTCAACAAAGCCTGCTATTGCTGGAATGCCTATGCTTCATGCCCATTTTTGTTTTTTAAAAAATGAGTTAAAGAATCCATGCTTGATTTTAATATCCACGTATTAAAAACAGCAAAATCTCAAAAGAAAGAAAGGATTTATTAATTATTTTTTACTGATTAATGTTTTCCCAGCTGTGTTGCTGGTATCCGCTAGGCCATGAGTCTACTCCTATTTGGGTCACATATTTGCGTTCTTTCAAAATTTTGAGAAAGTATTCTGGTCAACATCACAAAGTAGTTCTTATAGGTAGTGTGATAGATCAGAAAATAATAATAATAATAATAATAATAATAATAATAATAATAATAATAATAATTTATTAATATTTTATTTTATTTCTTACTCACCTCTCCTTGTGGCTCACAGCATAGTTAAAACACATAAACCTTGTAAAGATTCTATAAATCCACATATTAAATGTATGGCACCACAGTAGTGCAGCGGTTAGAACTGCTAGCTACAGGAAACCTGCTGATTAAAGGGTTAGCAGTTTGAAGGTGTGAGTCAGGGTGAGCTCCTGATTGTCAGCCCTAGTTTCTGCCCACCTAGCACCTTGAAAGCTTGTAATGCGAGTAGATCAATAGATATCGTCTCGGCTGCCGGCAACGATTGGAGAAAGTCTATGGACAGCAGGCATGGAAAAATGGAACAAGAGCACCTCCCCATGGCCAGAGTAGAGTATTGTCTCCAGACACCGGAGGTGGAAAGGAGAAAGCCTTTACCTCTGTCTGTGTATTGCATGTTGTTGTTCACTGTGTAAAAAGGCATTGAATGTTTGCCTTATATATATAAACTGTAATCCGCTCTGAGTCCCTCCAGGGAGATAAAGCGGAATATAAATAAAGTGTGTTGTTATGATGATGATGATTATAAACAATACATATTAAAATGTATTTCTATAAAATATGTATTACAATACACAGAACAGAGATTAAAACACAGAACACGAGTTTAAAATTCATGATTAAAATGAGCTGGGTAGGCCTGCCAGATGAGATAGGTCTTTAGAAGATTTTTAAACAGTTGCTACCAGGTTGTTGCTAATCAGGAAATGAACAACTTTACCACAAACCACCTATTTCACACAAAGCTGAAATTCAAAATTAACAGAACGGCAAATGCAAAAGCTAAAAGCTGTGAAATTGTAATATTTTACTATACACAGTGTCTGGAAAATGTGGAAGATATGATTTTATAACTAATGAATTTATATCCCATAGTAGAGACTGAACTAAAAATAGTTATCTCTGCAAATAATTTCATGTAGGTCATGTACTACTCAAACATGTAAACAAGCAAAGTGTATGCCCCAACCCACATTCCATCTGTCACACACCCTAGCAAAGACAATAAAATATCATAATACATTTCTTAAAAACATGTACATGGATATACCCATATATTTCCAGGCTCTACAAATATTCAATGTATACATCAGACAAAAATGCTGCAAAGACTTGCATTTTCCAAAACTTCACAAACAACGCTGACAAAAAAAATATAATCTGCAAATACTGACACAGCATCTCAAATATATAGGCATTCTGCCTCCCAACCTGAAAAATACCAACTAAGACCCTCAATCTGTATGAACACAGAAATAGAGCAGCAATTTCCAGAAAGTGGGGCACTGGGGATGATGTTGGGAAACTGCCAGAAGAGGTGAAAGGGAAACAAATCAGCGCTTGGCCCGATACACTTTGCTTGATGGACTCTGACTTGTTCAGCAAACCATAGTTAAAACAAATCTTGGCTTAGGGTTTTCTGTAAATGTACCCAAAGTGTGATTTTTATACCTCATTGTGATAGGCAACCAAAATAAAGTAATTTCTAATTGGCAAAAATGTCTCCTATGTATCCTGCTCATTGCTTATAATATCCTCTCTTCTACCTCTCAAAAGTTTTGCCACCAGTGGAACGTTATCAAATGCAGAACATCCTTCATGAGGAGCACTTGAGAGGAATTTTCATGGATTTGGCATCTAGGCCCAGTACATGTTACCAAACACAAGGTGGGGGCATTTTTGGTCGTATAAGTAATTCCACCATCACTGATAATTGCATTGTTTGTGCTAAAACTGATCCTAAGCTGACCTGTTTTGGTGGAATTGATTTGATGCATTTGGGATTCCTCCAAATGGAAGAGCTTGATATCCTGGCATTCTTATTTCGAAACAGAACAAAACAAAAACAAACACTTCTCTTGAGCTTATTTACACCCCACCATTGGGTTGAGGTACTTCATTTTGATCTGTTACATGCTAAACCGAATTTATTTATCAAACAACATCAAGCAAAAGATGCCAAAACACAACATTCCTTCTGAAACATAAGGATGTTGTGATTCAAATAACTGTCACTCTAGGTGAACCTGCAAGTTCCCATTGAGAAACCTTCTATTTTCATTTTTTAAACTTTTAAATTTAAACTTTAATGCTGCCTTTAAAGGGCAGTCTTCTCTGCAAACATTGTCTGCCCTTGATATTAGCTAATTTGGAGACACATAAAAAAATCTTCTGATTTTCCTGTTCTTCTTGATTGCAGATTGCAGAAGGCTCACAAGATGACTGGATGTGATTTTGTAGCTGTAGCTGCTAGTAACAATAGTTGGAAATGCAACAGAGTAGAGACATTTCAAGTTATGTTGCCCCTTCAAAAACCACTAATATGTGTTAAGCCAAACTACGTTTTTAAACAACTTGCTTAAGATGTCCAATTTTATTTTGAAGGAGAAGCAGCCACATCAGCTGTGGTCCTGATTGCATCTTTAACAGTGCAAGCTTAATTTCCATGAATTAGCAATAAAGAGTAATTGGATATTCAAAAACAGCATAAAAATACACATGTGACATGTGTATTTGTAAACAATGCTAGGACTGTCCATAACGGCACTATGCCAGTGATGATTCTTGCACAAGGAGGAAACCAACAAACCAAACCAGGGATTTTTACTTTGCTCTCAACAAAAAAGGATACCAGGCAGCAGCCAAGGGAACTGCATGACACTGTCTACCCAAAACAACTCAGATACTCCTAGGGTTTGCTTGCTCACATCCCTCCCATGAGTCCACTCCATTCAAGTTATTGGCCAGCATATTTGGGGTATTACAGCTGGTGTGTTTCTCTATAGAGGTGTTGCATATTCTGATGATGTAGCAAGATAACCTGCCAATTTTTCATCCTTTCGGCAGATGGATCTACAAGTAGAGGATTTCTATATTCATTTTTAAAAAATATTATTAGAAAGGGACTAGTTATTTATGGTTTGAGATTCTGTGCAGTGTTTTACAGAATTCTGTATTGTTGCTTGTTAAAAGTTTTGTTCCTGAGGATCAATGTGATTTCACATCCTTCCACTGAAAGATGTAGCCATTTTAATCCTATGGATTATATCCAAATTAAATGATGTGGCATTTTAAATATTTACTTTTAAAAATAACAAGAACTAAATATGTATGTGTGTCTATGTATGTGTGTGTGTGTGTGTGTGTGTGTGTTGTATTTCTTCAATTCTAAGACACATTTTTGCCATATAAGCATCTCCAAAATGAGATGCTTTTATCTTTATTTACACATCAATAAAGCTTTTTCTGTTGGTACTGAAATTAGTATACATCTTTCAATCAATGACATCTTAGAATCAAAGAAATATGGTGTACAGATAGATAGACAGAAAGATAGGTAGAAGATATAGAAAGCACTTTAGACCTAGGAGCTCATTTGATAAAATTGAACCCTTTTCTCCACTGATGTTAATAGAAAACAACTTTTATTGGATTAGGTGTTTCAAAGAAGATGGCACCAAATGTGCATCCCTTGTTCCTAGTACACATTCAAATGGTCTTCCTGCTCTTAACAGCATTTTAATATGCAATACTCTGTGTGGTAGTGGTTTTATTTACCAAATGTGTAGGTTGCCGGGAAATCATCTAAAGGCAACATTTGGAAAAGAGGTGAAGATTTTTTTTTGCCCATCCATTTCATATGAACAGATTCCAAAATAAATTGCTTTGGCATAATAAAACATGACTCACTGGAAAAGATAATAATGATGAGAAAAGTGGAAGGCAGTAGAAAAAGACTGTATTACAGATGAATGGCTCAATAAACGATGCCGCAGCACTGAATTTGAAAGACACAAATAGCCCTGATAGAAACTGGTGCTCTTGGAGGTCTCATATTCATAAAGTTTAAAGTCAACTTGATAACACACAATCACAACAAAGAAGTAAGCCCACAATCCTAACCTTAGCCTGAAGCTGGTGAAGCACAGAAAGGAAGAGAAGTGCTGCTCCTCTCGCAGTGAACAAATCCCATTTCCCTTTTAGAAGCAGACCTAGGGGTGTCCTGTAAACAAAGACATATGGACCTGGTAATGCTCTATTTCAAACACTTTTTTCCTCCAACCTAACCTTTCTAAAATTGTTATACTATAGTAAATTGTCCAGTTATACTATAGTAAATTGGCACTGCAATGGATTTAGCAGTGGCTCTGGCAGTAAATTTAATCTACTTCCCACACCAGTCTCATTGCTGGTATGATTGCTCTACACATTTTTCTTCTTCTCAAGAAAATGTCCTTCTTCAAGCAGTTTGGTCCCCGTTTCATGCATGGAAGGTCTGGTTCATCTGTAACATTTATTAAAGTCAGATAGGAATGCAAATCATAAGGACCAACTGGCTCATCTAGGCAAGCAGGGGGTCAGTTGAAAAGACCAGAATTTAGAGTAGGAAGAACAAACATGCTAAAGCCTGACCAAGTAGGAGAGATGTAAAAGCCCATGTAAGAGAGAGGAAGGGAAGAAGCGAGTTCTTACTGAAGTGGGAGAAGGGACATCAAAAAAGAGTGAAGGTTTAAACTCATGTACGAGCAATAGATTACACACACACACATACTGATATATTGGTGCAACCAGAAATATGATGTCGCATACACTATATATTCTATGTACTTAAGCTACTGAAGGCTGTAGGATTATGATGGGCCATATACACTTCTTCACTTAGACCTTAGGTCTACATCCAACAAGTTCTTCACTTAGACCTTAGGTCTACATCCAATCATAGAATCATACAGTTGGAAGAAACTTCGTGGGCCATCCGACCTCTTTCTGCCAGGAAGCAGGAAAATTGCATTCAAAGCATCCCCGGCAGATGGCCATCCAACCTCTGTTTAAAAGCCTCCAAAGAAGGAGTCCCCACCACACTCTGGGGCAGAGAGTTCCACTGCTGAACAGCTCAGGAAGTTCTTTATCATGTTCAGGTGTAATCTCCTTTCCTGTAGTTAAAAACTATTGTTCCACATCCTAGTCTCCAGGGCAGCAGAAAACAAGTTTGCTCCTTCCTCCGTGTGACTTCCCCTCACGTTTTTATACATGGCCCTCATGTTTCCTCTCAGCCTTCTCTTCTTCAGGCTAAACATGCCCAGTTCTTTAAGATGGTTGCAGCAGTTCTAGGTTACACAGTTGCCAACCCTGATCTAGGTCCTAGATCAGCCACATGCAGCTTTTAGGATCCAGAGAAGTTTACAACTATTACCACATGCACAACTGCAGCTTGGACATATATTCTCGAACAATAGTTCCATAATACAATATTAATAATCGTCTAATTTCCTAAGAGAATAGAATTATTCTTATTTTCCAATGCACAGATTTCATCTTCAATTGCCTTGCTGTAGCTCCCTCTATTGAATGGCCTGGGAATCAGCTATAAAAATAGTTAACTACTGCTGTAACTGATCAAATCATTCAAAGAAGCTTGTAAGATGAAGTGTGAATCTGCAGTTCAAAGGAGAAGCAAACAAATTGAGTCTCTATGGAGCAGGCATGGGCAAACTTTCTCCCCTCCAGGTGTTTTGGACTTCAACTCGCACAATTCCTAACAACCTATCGGCTGTTAGGAATTGTGGGAGTTGAAGTCCAAAACACCTGGAGGGCTAAAGTTTGCCTATGCCTGCTACATATACATTCAAACTGTTTGGGTTCTGACCAATAAGGGAAAGGGTAGAACAAAGTTGATCTGTGATTGTTTCCTGTTGGCAAACCATAAATCCCAGTTCTTTTTAATCCATAGTTTTTTCACTCTGCATACTTTTGTAAACAAGATAAACTGTAGAGGGAAAAGCTAGTATGCAGAAAAATTCTAGTCTGCAGAAAAGAATTTGCACCTGAGGCTTTTCATGTATGGATACCATCATATATAGACAGAACATTGAAATGAGAGGCAGCTTCCATTTGCAGGGATCCTGTTTGCACCCTGGAGACACCAAACGTCAAGCAGAGCAGTTCTATAATGATAACTGTGATGCAAACTGCAAAAAATGGGCTGCTCTGAAACAAATGCTAGCATGTTCTTTTGTGTCCATTTCATTTTCTAGTATTCAGTGTTATTTTATTTTGTCTGCGTTTTAACATATCATATCTCTGCTTGTGTGTCACATCATTATTTTTGATCCTCCCATATTTGATATGCTCATTCAATTAAACCAATGACTATTACCCTTGTGTATAATCATTCCAGCTGTGGTACAAGTCTTTGTGAACCAACAGTTTCAAGATTAGGAAAAAAAAACCTTTGTTTCACTTGATTTAACTGATTAACAAATCAACATACTTTTACCTCTTGGTGCCACTGCTTTGTGCTTCTTCTTCTGATCGGGTTAGGTTTCCAAGTACTGCAGAGTCAAGACTGAGGCCGTGCATTTCATGCTGAGCAATATGATTTCATAGGTGTAATGCCTCAAATCCACTGCTGTGCCTCACATATTAACTTCTGAATTTTCATTCTGAAATGTATAAGATAGGTTCACTTTACTATTTATTTTCCTGACATTATGTATCTTATTTCAGACCTTAGGCAAATAAAGTAACAGAAGGAGAGGATACATGTCTAACTGTCAGGTGTTCTTTCCAATTATTAATTTCAGCAGTTGTGGTCTCACTAACAAGAAGAATAGTTCATAGTTAAAGAATGCATTCATCTCAAAGTTGTTGTTTACAGGTTCCAGCTG